TGTGTTTGTCTTTATATAGACTTTCTGTTCTGCCTTCTCATTGGTTGTAAACCCAACCACATGACTGCCTCATCACTGCCTGTCTGTACAGACCTCCAGGTCTTCTATGGTTGGTATTGAGATAAAAAGCATGTGTCTCTATGCAGGCCGTATCCTTGAACACACAGAGATCCGCCTAGCTCTGCCTCCCAAGAGCTGGGATTAAAGGTGTGCACCACCACCACCCAGATTCTGCGATGGCTTGCTATTAGCTCTGACCCCCAGGCAACTTTATTTATTAACATACAAATAAAATCACATTTCAGTACAAATAAAATATCACCATACTCACACACAGGACAAGGAAAGGCATATTGAGAGGAGAAGCTGGAAAGAGGAATGAAACTAGTTGAGGCATCCACAAATACATGTACTAGACAACTAGAAACTCATAAGCATCTAGAGTTCTCCCAAGCAACTAGAGAAAGCTGGGACTCAAGAAAGATTTTCTATTGAACAATTTTGATGAAAGAAAATTAGTCCTTTTAATAACTGTGTATTTTTGCCTTTAAATAATAACTCCTCTGGGTATGTTTTAGAGAGAGTTTTATTTACATAAATTTGACTTAATCGCATCCACATTATTGACTGTAACATCTTGTTTCCCAGAAAGGGCGGAAAATTTTTGGGAATAATGACAGGATTGCTTTGTTACGGCCCTCACTCACTCCTAGTCTACATGCCTTGGGAATTTCAACAGTTTTTCAACCTCTCTGTGGGTGCTGATGCTTCGTATCAATGAACTGTGTGGGTGGCCAGTACTTAACTCAAACCTGGGCGCTTGGCATGCTTTTCATCCAGGGCAATATCAGAAACTGATGAATTCTGGGTGTCTCTGACAGTCCCTCCCTCTGCTGACAATAGCACCTCGAAGTGCTAGGACCCTTGTCTAAAGTTGACACGGCCCCCCCAGGGTCATTTTTTCCATGTGAGGCCAATTTAAGGGTTCTTGGATATTCTCTTTCCTCAGTCCATGTGACCTCAGAAAGCGAGCAGTAGTTAGGTGATAGTCAACCTCTTTTTTGATGTGACCAAATACCCAAGGCAAACAAGTTACAGGAAGAAGTTTCAGCTCACACTTCCTTTTCATCGACAGCCAGCTGTCTCTGTTGCTTTAGGGCCCAAATTGAGACTGAAAGTCTTGGAGCTGCTTGATCATAGCAGCAGGCAGCGGAGAGAGTGAGAGAGAGTGGCTAGAGGCAGGACAGATCCTTCAAAATCCCACCCCGGGACTGACTTACTGGACCTCACATCCTGATGATCTATCCAGCTAGGAACTCACCAGTGTGTGAGTTGAAGAGGTTAATGTTGTCAGGAGCCAATCACCTGTCACCAGCCCTCGGCTGGCAATAACATCTTGAACATGTGGCGCAAAGGATATTTAAACCATAACAGCAGGACACACATGTTCTGTAAAGTTATGGTAAACTTAGTCCACAACTTCTGGAAGGTCTCTCCCCATCTGACTCAGCCTGTTTCCTCCCTGAAGTCAGTTCTGCTTATGCTGTGCTTAAACTTGAGAATCCCTCCCTCCCTCCCTCCCTCCCTCCCTC